GAACCTCACCCACCCATTCCTGTAAGACCTCCAATCGCTACTAGTGACCTCCTTGAATCTGGACTTCAAGTTGCATTGAATCCACAATTTACACTTTTAAATCTGCAAGTGACTCATGTCCCAGGCTGCAGAGGAAGGTAAAATCCCCCAGGGTCACTGCCAGCCTGACCTGGGGAAATTCCTTGCAAACACACTAGTCAGACGCTGAGCATGTGGGTAAGACCCAGCCAGCAGACACCCATACAAGAATCCTTTGTAGTAACTCAGAGCCCTTCCCTTGGGAGTGTCCTGGCTCTAGCCATTGTGGGGTCTTGCTCCTGCAGTCACCAGTGGCCCACAAGTCAATGCTGGCAATCCCATCTGTCCATCTTTTCAACCACTGCTCCCCTGGGCAAGCTGTGCCAGGTCACTCCTCCCTCTGCTGGTAGGAAACTGGCGCCCCGTGTTGAGACTCCAGTTGGAGATACCGGTTTATATTCACTTGTCCGCAGTGGTGCCTGACTCCTCTCCTGCCCTGCTAGTTCTCGGATGTCGTTATACAGAGCAAGCCCGTCGGTCTGGGCCACGCTAGAGTAACCAGGCAAAGTGCTTCTCGTAAGGAAGCCTCCATTCCTCAGATCGTCCTCGTACCCCTGCTCAATCTTGCGCATGGCGCAGCCGATGAGGTGTCCCTAGCGCGGTGTATAGTGGTGCTACCCCGGCCCTGTCTCTCCTGCGCGTACCGCGCCTGATGCACTCTAGGACTGCGAACCTCTTTTTATGACCACATCACACTTGTGGCTCCTAGGCCTACTGTGAGCAACCAATAGACCCCGCTCTGTCTCCTCTTCGGTCACTGCCATCTGACACACCTGCCCCCCACCCTGTTCAAAAAGAATGGGCCCATTCCATGCATGCCCTTGTACTTGGCACTATTAAATTGCTTCCCATTTTTATTACTAGAGCCGGCTGACCCTGTAGAAGTCTGAGGCCGTAGGCCACATGGGCGAGACCTCCCAGGTTTGTCAGTGCAAATGTTAATAGCCTGTTCTCGCATTGTGCCAAGGCCAGGATTACAAATGATAAACAAGACTAATACCCGCCTCCTCCCCGTGTTCTTCAGTCCAGCTTGCACCTGTACATCCTGACTCTTCTTTTCAGCCTTCTCTTGCCTTTGCTCCAACATCTGCTCCAGCCCCAGGACGCTAGTTTCCACAAGCTTCGGAATTTCTCTTTCAGCAGCTCTATCCGCGACGCTTCGTCCGAAGAAAGCTCTTTGCAGGCAGTCGCTCTGGGGTCACATACAGCCTGAGGCTTCCACGTTTGGTCTTCATGGTCTCTACCATTGCTTGGGTCACTACTGCTGGGGCCTCTGTAGCGGTCATCACCTTCCCGCCTAAACGCGTCATGGAAAAACAAAAACGAGAAAACCAAACTCCCATTTACAGCGGTGTGCACTGGTTCCGGTGTAGCTGACGTTGTAGGCCCCCTCATCAAGGCTCCGCTGCGCTCAGCCCACTGCCCCCTACTAATCTCTAGACACTGAGCAAGGAAAGACCCCTTTTGTCTGACTACTCTGTGTGCCTCCGTTTCCGGTGTTGCTCAAGTGTCCAGGTGATGGGTGTCTGGCTGGTGAGTCTTGCCCACATGCTCAGGGTTTAGCTGATCGCCATATTTGGGGTCGGGAAGGAATTTTCCTCCAGGGTAGATTGGCAGAGACCCTGGAGGTTTTTCGCCTTCCTCTGTAGCATGGGGCACAGATCACAGCTGGAGGATTCTCTGCATCTTGGGGTCTTCGAAGTATTTGAAGGCTTCAATATCTGAGATATAGGTGAGAGGATTATTCTGGGAGGGTGGGTGAGATTCTGTGGCCTGCACTGTGCAGGGGGTCAGACTAGATGATCATAATGGTCCCTTCTGACCTTAAAGTCTATGGCTCTATACTGGGAGGAACTGCTCCTTTGACATCTTCTGGGGTCAGGGTGCCCTTGAGAACAGTTTTTCCATTATAAGTATTTCCGGAAAAGCGCGTCTACATTGGCAGGATGCTTTTCCGGAAAAGCACTTTTTCCGGAAAAGTGTCCATGCCAATGTAGACGCGCTTTTCTGCAAAAAAGTCCCAATCGTCATTTTCGCGATCGGGGCTTTTTTGCAGAAAAGAAATCTGTGCTGTCAACACTGGCCCTTTTATGGAACAGTTTTCCGGAAAAGGACGGGAACAGCATCGTTTTTCCGGAAAAGCACTGATGATTTTACATTAGATCGTCAGTGCTTTTGCGGAAATTCAAGGGGCCAGTGTAGACAGCTGGCAAGTTATTCCGGAAAAGCGGCTGATTTTCTGAAATAAGTGGCCAGTGTAGACACAGTCTATGAGACTGGTGCAGAGATTCCAACAGGGCAAGTGTGACTGTTGTCTGGCTGCCTGCAGCTGGGCTCACGCTGTATCCTGCCAACTGATGTCTGGGGCCCATTCTTTACAACAGTCAGGTGAAGAACAAGGTGAGAGGGATAGGTCAGGGGACCTGTGTGCCCAGGGAAAAGATGGAGGTGGGGCCCTGTGACTGAGGGCTGGACTGTGAGTCTCCTG